CTTTTACAGCCACCTGAACTCCGCCAACCTCCTGCTATCAAAAAAAACCCCAAAAACACCAACAACTCTAAAGTATTTTCTTTGGATGTACAACAGGCTGAAGAATTAAAAAAAGGGGATGAAATACCAATGCAAGGAGGACGAGCAGATCAAAACCGCTGGAAAATTAATGGGTGCACGAGGAGCTCTCGGGTTTCCATCTATCTACGCGTCGCTCCAACAGGTCCTTTCGGAGAGCCGTGCTATGGAGCCGGAAAACTGCGGAAAGCGACGGGGGAACCCTCGGCGATCCCGGAGCGGGATCCCGGCGGGGGGGCACGGCCCGGCAAAGCGCTTCCATGGCAGCTCCGCCGGGAAGTTGGGTGAACACCGGGACCGGAGCAGCACGGCGCTCCCCCCGCGGCTCTCAGAACGTTCCCCCCGGGCGGGCGGGAGCCCCGGCGGCGGCTCCGGCGCGCGGTGCGGCCGGTACCGGGGCCGTGCAATGCGGGCGAGCGCTGCCGGGGGCGGTCCCGCCGCAGCCCGGGAGCGGCACCGGGCGGAGGGCGGGCAGAGGGGCGGGGGGAGGAGGCGGCGCCCGGCTCGCAGCGCGCCCAGCGGCCGCCGCACGCTCCGCCCGCCGCTCCCGCCATGCCGGGGCCGGGACACCCCGGCGGGGCGGGGCGGGGCGGGAGGACGCGCGGCCGCCCGCGCGGGCCGGGGGTCCCCGGGGAGCCGCGCCGCGGGCACCGACCGGCCCCCCCCACCCCCCCCACCAACCCCGCGCCGCCGCCGCACCGGCGCCGGGCCCCGCCCCCTACGGATCGCCGGAGGGGGCCGGCCCCGGGCCCGGCGGCCTCCCGTCCCCGCCGCCCCGCTCTTCCTTACCTCGAAGCGGGCCCTGGCAGCGGCCGGGTCTTCCTCAGGGTCTGGGGGTGGCGGGCACCTCCGGGGCGGGCGGCGGGGGCGGGCTGTCCCCGGCGCAGTGAGAAGGGGGGGTCCCCGCGCCCCTCCTCCCGGAGGGGGGGGGCGGGCGGGGGCGGCGCCGGTGCCCCGGCGGGGGCGGGGGGCTCGGCGGGGGGGGTAAGATGGAGTAACCGTCTGTCGGCCGCCGCGGCGGAGCGCTGCCCGCTTCTCTGTTCCCCGGGAAATCCCGCCCCTCCTCGCGCAGGGGGGGAGCCCCGAGAGCCCGTTGGCTGAGACGCGCGCCCGTCTCCCTCTCGGCCAATGGGAGCGCTGGCCCCGCCCACCAGGCCCTCCCCTATTGGCCGCGGCCCCCAGGAAGGGGATGTGGAGAGGAAGGGAGGGAGGAGAAGAGGGGGGGAGCGACCGCCGAAGAAAAATGTCCGTATAAGCAGCGCGCCCCGCCCCCGTCCCGCCTCCCCCGCCGTCCTATTGGCTGCCAGACCAAAGCGCCGGCCAATCGGCAAGCGGGGTTGCGCCGCCGTCACGGGGAGAAAGCCCACCCACGCGGCGAATTGGCCCCGCCCGCCACCGGCGAGGCCACGCCCCCCTCTCTGGGGAGCCCTTTTGTGGAATGTTTACATCGCGGCAGCGGCCCGCGCCAGCCGCTCCCCCTGTCGCCCCCCCACGGCCTTGGGCCCCGGCGCCAACCGGTTCGGCGGCGGGAGGGGGGGAACTTGGCGGCGAAGCCCGGGCCCGGGGGCGGCGCGGCGCTGCCTTTTGTCCCCGACCCCTTCACTTCCGGGATGGCGGTGCCCCACGTGGGGCGGGTCGGTTCCACGTGCGGGCGGGGGGCACACGGCACACGCACACACTCGCTCGCGCACACGCCCCGCACACTCGCACACACTCACACTCACGCACGCACGCACCGAGGAGGAGGGGGGGCCGTGGGCGGTGCGCGCCGCGGGGGGCGGTGCCCTCAGCTGCCGCGGCCAATGGCGTGTGAGGGAAGGGGCGTGGCCACCGCGGCAATGGCCCCCCCCCTCCTCCCCCCACGCGCACACACTCAGTCACTCGCCTCCCCCCCCGCCTGCTCCCGCCGCCCGTCGCGCGCTTCCCGCCGGCGGGATCCGGAGCGCGCGCGCGCTTCTCTCCCCTCCTGCCCCCCCCCCGTCGTTTCCCTCAGGTGCCCGCCCGCCCGCCCCTTGGGAAGCGATTCCCGTGAAGGGGGGCAAAACTGGGAAAGTGTGTGTGGGGGAAGCAGCTGTTACATACCCTCAACGCGCAGGCGAGCAGCCCTGAATGGAGGGGGAACTCCCCCCGGGGCGGATTGGCCCCGCGGTGCCGATCGTCACGGCCGCACCGCCCACGGCGGGAGGGGGGGCGCGGGCAGGGGGGTGTGAGGGAAAGGCCTCTCGGCGGGAGGGAGCCCGGCGAGCCGGTGCCCCCGCGGCTTTAGTCAGCGTTCCCTTCCGCTAAAACAAGAGGTGGAGATGGCGTTTATTGCCTTCAATCGTCGTGTTTCTTTGCCTTTGGGAAGTTGTGGAGTGGGGTGCTGGGTTTCCCAGACGGAGGCTGGAGGAGCCAGGCCTGGCCGCCCGTTCGTGCTCATCTGGGCATCCAGAGCCTGCTCGGGAAAGGGTGAAATACCAACACTCACGTTCCACACTTCTATTAAAATGTGTATTTCGAGCACCTTCACTCAAACCACGTCCAAATCTGCTATTTGGTTGGGTTTTTTTCCTTTTCAACTCTTCTTCCCTTTCCCAGACCGGGAGAGCGTTGCAGGAGCAGGCAGTGAGCTGGTGCCGGGACAAGCAGGCACAGCAGAGCAGGCTCCCTGTAGCTGGGAGCTGCAGCTCGGTTTAACCCCTGGAAGGGCTCTCGACAGGGGAAATTGAGCCTGCACGGGCTGCAGTGCCACTGGAGATCCAGTCTGAGCCTTGAAAACTGGAGGCAAGGAAGCAGAAGGGCTGGGAAATGAAGCGCTCTGGAGCTAGGCTCTTTCCAAACTCCCAGGGTGCAAAATTACAAGCACTAAAGTAATCGTCATTAGCGAGGCGGCGTGCATGCAGCCAAGAAAGCCAAATGAGACAGGTGGGCACAGTGATGGCAGCGCCGCTTTAGGATTGCCCTGCAATGCCTTTAAATCTCTATTTCCAAACTCCAACAGAACTTTGGATTTCATTTTTGGAATTGCCTGTTCTGTTACTTTTGCCCGTGGTGGCTGATCCCAATCTCTGGGCCACTCCGGGGAAGGGGAGATCCTGCAGGCACCAGGCTGCCTGCACTCAACAGCCCATTTTTCCCACCATTCTCCAAACTATACAAAGTTTTTCTTTCCAGTAACTTTTGGCTGTCTGCGTGAAGTGACCATTTCCAGAGAAATCCTTATTTCTGCTGCTGAGCAGGACCTGCTGGCACAGAAGGAATGGATGGAATAAAACATGTTGTGCAAGAGGACAGAAAACGCTGGCTTTGAGAAGAAACGCAGCCCTGGAAATAGTAAGGGAGGGTGAGTGTTTGGGTTGTTTTTCCATGGAAAAGGTTTACAACCTTTTTCTCCGCCTCCAGCACAGATGGGATCTTCATCCCTCCTTGAAGGGAGCAGCATATCCAAGCTGTTCCCATTCAGAGCCAGAGTTGGTGATCTCCATTCTTCTCCTCTGGTTACTCCTACCAGACACCCAGGACATGAGTCTTGGGAAAGTTTTGGTTCTCTGTGCCCACATCATGTGGAATTGAGATAGAAGGCACAACCACCTTTACTGTGTGCACAGAGAGGGCTTGGTTAGGATTTCAAAGCCTGTGGAAGAGATACACGGGCTAGGCACATTCGTGGGGCCACGTGGGACACTTGGCATCACCTGCAGCTTTCAGATCTGGACCTGACACTCAGCCAAAAGCCCTGCTGAGCCACAGAGAGCTGCTGCTGACAGCACAGGATTAACAACAAACTGCAAACACTCCCCTTCCTGTGTGTGAAGAAAGCCCAGCTGGGTGAAAAAATTTGGCAATGAGGAGGGAGGGCCCCAGGAGCCTTCCTTCAGACGATGAGAGCTCCCTCGAGGAGCCACCCTGCAATGGGTGCCTGCAGGGAAACTCTGGGGCAGCCTGAGCTGGAGGAACCGATCACACTGCCTGGGCTGATGCTGCTCCAGGAGACAGCTGGGTGGAAAAGGGTACCTGGAAGGATGGGACACTGCAGCTGAAGCAGAACCACTCTGCAGGCAGGATGTGCACAGCTCCAGGGACACTCCCAACAGACACCTTCACACACTCCTATGCACTGGGACACACAGCTCTTCCAGACGGATTCCCTGCTGCCTCTGGTTCCTTTCCAGCCTTCCAGTGCTTGTGTCTGACCTCAGTTTGGCACAGCCAAGCCACTCCATGCCCTGAGCACAGGGGAAAGCTTCTCTCTGTGCTAGTCCTAGAAAGACACTGGCATCCCTCACTTTTTTAGGCTCCAGCTGAGCAAACACAGGTGCCGCTCTTCACACCCGCCAGCTGCCCTGCTCTGGGGCACGAGCTCCCTCGCTGACTCTAGGGCTTCATTTGCACAAGCTGCCTTTTTTCCTCCCTCGTCCCTAAGCCTCAGGCTGCAACTGCTGCTCTGGGACTGGCACAGCTTGCACCTGAAGGCACTGGGGCTGCCTGACAGTCCAGGAGTTCCCCCAAATTTTTGTGCCCTACATGCCTGCTCAGAGGAGATCCAGAAGCACGGAGGCGTTGCCTGCACCTCCAAATCCTGCAGCAAAAGGCAGCAGCAGGCAGACACCACAGGAGACTGATGTCCTGGGGCTTGTCAAGGCCCTGGGAAAAGAGGCAGGAACTTGGAGCAGGGTGGCTTGTGTCCCCCCTGCTATGCCGGCCCATTGTGCTGCCTTCCCTCCTGACACTATCCTTCCTGCCCAGGAAAGCTTCCTGCAGCCTGGTTATCTCTGTCTCAGCCTCACCCAGGCCAGAAGAAGCCCTAAACACAGCCCTGTGCTCCTCCAAGTCCAGGTGTAGCCAGGGATGGGGCCAGCTGGCTTTTAGAGATCACAGCCCGTGCAAAGCCCTGAAGTCCCTCCTCCTTCTGTCCTGCCCAATGCCCCCACGACAGCAAAGAGGACTGGTCACCGGTGGTATATTTATATATCAATACAAATAAAAACAAAACAACTCCCAAAAAAGTAACGACAACAAAAAGGCTTCTCTGAGAGCAAAATAGGAACATTTACAAATACTTCTGGCTCTGGCTTGGATCAAGTTAATGTTAAATACAAAAAAAAAAAAAAACAATAACAAAAAAAAAGAAACACAAAAAAACCCCAAAAGAAAACAAAACAAAACCTCCCAAACCCTGCGCCTCCCTCCCCCCAGATTATAAAAAAATAAGAATATACACATTCAAAGAGCTTATTACAGTATAAAGTTGGGGAGGCCCAGGCAGTAGTGGGGGCTGGGGCAGAGGCTCGTTGCCTCTCCAGGGTTTGGGGTTTATTCTTGCTCAGCGCTTTCCCAGCCCATGACTCAACGCAGGGCTGGGCCTGCGGGTTCCCAGTGGCAGCTTGGGAAAGCCGGGCAACCTGGAGAGCCGGTCGGTCCCCACGGCCCCGTCACCTCGTACCTAGTGACTCCCACAGCGTCCCCTTCCAAGGGCCAGGGGATGCCTGCGAGCTCAGCACCCCCCGGACAACCCAGTCCTCCAGAGCCTCCCAGGAGCACGGCTGCTATCTCTCCATGGGGAAGATGAGACAAACAAACAGGGGGGACACCATCAAGTACCCTGTGCCTCCAGTGGGATGGGCACAGGGGTGGGTATACCGGGTCCCAGCGCTGCCCACGAGGGGAAATAAGGAGAAGGGGGAAGACAAGACAGAGCCAGGACCAAACTCACCGCTCCAGAGATCACAGCAGTGAGGTGGCAGGACAGCAGGGACCCTTAGGAGCTGCTAAAGGGGAGGTTGTATATATGTATCTATATAATAGCCAGGAGGTCACAGCGGGGTATATTATATACACACATACATACAGACACACAGATGGAGCGTCAGCTGAGACTGAAGCACGCGCCTCTTCCTCAGCCCGAGACTGGGAATACATTTCCTAGGACTTCGCAAAGCCCCTCTCTAGGTACATCTTAGGTGGTCCCAACAACAAAAAACCAAAAAAACCCAACAACTCGAAGAGAAGACAAAACACCTCCCCCAACCAACCAAACCCAACCAAAACACGACGGGGAGGAGTGAGAGCCCCCTTCCCGTGCCGGCAAGCGGCAGCCACCGTTTGAGTTGAATAAGGCACAGTTCCATAGCAGTGCTGACAGCTGAGGTGCTCCGGCACCGCCGCCCCCACGGCTCTGCCGAGTCCCGGCGGGCACCGGGGCGGCTCAGGCAGCCCCCGAGGACGGGCAGCGGCGTCTGCAGGGTCTCAGTGCCCCGGCGAGCTCTTGTCCAGGGAGGGCCGGCTGTGGTTGGCGAGCAGCAGGCCCTCACGCTGGGCGTGCTCGAGGATGGCGGTGTAGCAGAAGTAATACTGCTCGGGGGTCTGGATGCTGAAGGCGCGCTGGGTCCGCATGCGCAGCACCGTCTGGTAGATGTTCAGAGTGCCCACGTCCTGCAGCTGGGACAGGCAGATGTCCAGCGCGCAGAAGGTACCTGGGGACGGCGACGGGGGTGGCATCAGATGCCAAATGGCACCGTCACTGCCCCTTTTGAGAGCTGGAGTGGGCGGTGCTCAACCCCCCCACTGATCTCCTATGGGGACTTCTCCCAGGTCTGATGGTTGAGGGAAGTCCTGAGGACATGTGTCTCAGGTCGACCAGCATGCAAACACACTTTGGGTCCCCAGGATGGAAATGCCCCAGGGAAAAGCTGGACTTGTCACCCCACCATCCATCCCCAAACCTCCCCCACACCCATTACCTGTCCTGCCAATGCCAGCACTGCAGTGCACCACGACTGGGGGTCCCCCGGGGTGACCTTTGAAGCGAGGTCCCAGGGCGCTGACAGCCACTCTCTGCTGCTGCTTCACGGCCCCCAAAAAGTCAATGAGAGTGGCAGCGGAAGAGGGGACGCCATAATCCGGCCAGCTTAGGTACTGGAAGTGGGACACCAGCCGCCGCTCCCTGGTCTGGGGAAAGCACAAGGTTTAGACCCTCTTTCCTCCTCTGACCCCTGGTGCCCCCATGCCATTCCCCCACTAGGCAGCTGTGGCCACGCACCTCTGAGCTGTGGATCTCCAGAATGGTTTTCTTGTAATGGTTGAGGTTCTCTACGCCCAGGTTGGTGATGGTCAGGGCCCCAAAGCACATCTGGAAATCCTTTTCCAGGGGCCAGTACTGGCCACACTTCCTCCTGCCTCCTTCCTCCAGCCTGGGAGCAGGACAATTACAAGCTGGTAATGTCCTCCTTGCCCTGCCCGAGACATCTCCCATGCCACCCAGCCTTGGTCCTTTGGGGATCAGCAGGGATCAGTCTGTCCTTGACCCAATGTCCCCCCTCTATAGGGGCTCTAGCTGGCACCACTGCTGCACGATCACTGCACCAAGCCCAGCGCTGCTCATCCCACACCAAAAATGCTCATTTTGCACAGAAGAAGAGGGCTGTGTCCCTCCTTCAGCACTCACCGGGTTGTCATCACGATCACCAGGACGTTTTGCTCCCACACCATGCGCCAGAAGTCACCGTAGGTATTTTCCAAAGGCCCTGCAGGGACAACCAACACGTCAGCCCGAAACCTCATGGATTTGGGCAATCCCTTGCCCAGCTGCATCCACCAGCTCCCCATCACCCCCACAGGGAACCATAGTCCCTTTCTGTGGGGGCTGACCCAGGTATGGATCCACGAACATGGCCTGGAGCTGTCACTGATTGCCACCCCCAGCACCGAGTCCCTGCGGCTCAGCACTGATCCCGCCTCTACGCTCATCCTTGGGCAGATGGGGCAAATCCAGAGCTGGGACTGGGACAGGGGCAGGGAGAGGGCTGCTGTCATGGATGAACATGGGTTCCCTCGCTCTCTCCCAGGAAAAACTTCAGTCCAATAGCTGGAAACTGAGAGGGGAATAAATACACTCAGGGAGGAGTAAATACACCCTGAGAGAAGGGAGACCTGCTGGGCAGCGCCCGGCTCCTGGGATGTCCCCCATGGCCAGTGGCTGACCCTGGGCAGAGAGGTGGAACCCATGGGTGCATCAGGAGCAGAACAACCCCTCGTTGGCTCAGCCATACCCTGAGTGCCAATGTAAGCATTCCTCTGCTTGTAGCCATCCATGAAGCTCGCGTTGATGTAGTCAGTCAGCTGCAGGGAGAAAAGCAAGGATGAGAACCAGCACCCATGGATGAGCCTCCAGAACCCTGGGATAGCTGTGGCAGTTCCCCACAGGCATGTGAGTTTCCCTCCTGTGCTGGCTCACCTCTGGGCGGCTGTATGGCTTCGCCAGCTTGACACGGGTTTGGTCCAGGCAGGGCACATCCCCGTACCGGTTCTTGTCCTGGTTGTAGGGTGCCCTGGAAGGTGGGGCAGAGGGAAGCAGGGATGTATTCCAGGCAAGGCAAAGGCAGCAGCATCCCTCCCTCTGTGCAAGCCTCTGGGGCCCATAGCCTGGGCTCTGCTGCCATCACCTGGCCAAAGCCTCGGGAAGCAGAGTCCGGGCCAGGTCCTGGTCCCTGCTGTCCTCTGCGGCTCCCCCCTGTTCCCAAAGGCTGCAGCACCCGCAGAAGGGGCTCACACCATCCCTAGGCTGGGGCTCTCTGTCGCTAACCCAAACCACCACACCATGAAGAGGCCGATGGACCCCATCCAGCAGCAGGAGCGTGGGGTGGGGGGGCATCCAGCTTTTCGGGGTGAGAGGGGCACCTAGCTCCATCCCACCAACTCACAAAGAGCAGACGAAGGTGCCGGTCGGGCTCCTGCGCCGAATGTCTTCGTACTCCTCGTAGATGCCGCGTTTCTGCTTGTGGCTGACGTGATCCAGCAGCTCCTGGAGGGTGACAGACCTGGGCCCGGGGACATGGACGGAGCCGTTATCTTTGGGGGCCGCCAGCGGCACCAGGATGAGCTCGTCCAGGGGGTCGGGGTGCCCGTTCTGCTGGGGCAGGAACCGGCAATTCCAGCTCAGAGGGTCCAGTTTGAGGGACCCCCCGAGGTACTCAGGGAGGCATTCCCGGGGCAGGTGTTCCTTCAGCTCCGACATCTTCACCATCTGCACCTGTGAGAGGGAGAGGAAAGGCGGGGGTGACTCCAAGAAAGTTGGAGAGGATTCGCTGGGGATGGGGGATAGGGATGCCAAGGCTGTCTGGTGCTCAGCAGCTTCCAGCAGATGGGGCTGAATGGCGCAAGCTGCTTCCACCACCTTGCCACAAAGGGAAAAGAGCCTCAGTCCTGCCCACTGAGGGTCCTGTGCCAGGAGAGTCCCCACTCACCCGCTCCCGCAGCTTCTCCTTCAGCAGCAGGCTGATGATAGAGTAGGGCACACGGAACCACATGGGAGCTCCCACAATGAAAACCTTCTTGAGCCGGGCTGGGAAGGCACCCTGTGGGTGTGAGGAGGGGGTCAGACCCACTCTGCTGTGGCAGGGGACATATCCCAGCAGAGGTCTGACAACTAGCAAAGGGACCCCATGATGGCAATGCCACATCTGAAGCGTGCCTCGCACTCTCACAGCCGTGCCCGTCTTTATGAGTCGATAAGGAAACAAATTACTTCCTTGGAATTAGGTAGACAGAGGGTTTGGCTCCGTGGAGAAGACTGGGAACTGGGATTATGCGAAGAACACACCCCGGCCAGTATTTACTCTTACTGCTTTTTTTTTTCGGAGAAGGGAGGAGGCACCAAATGCCAGCAGATGAAAAAATAATTTGCATCTGCTTTCCCAAAAGTGTTGCCAGCAGCTGTGAGAGGAATCCAGCCCGGGGACAGCTGATCCCTCCCGCCCGCGCTGCACCGCAGCCACAGCCGGGTCCAGCCTGGCAAGCTCCCAGTGCCCTCCCCAGGTCCTGCGGGGCTGGAGCTGCTGCTCCTCGGCCGAGACGTGGTCAGTGTGGTCTGAGGTGCAAATTGATGCCAAAACCGCAGGACTTCGGGTTCTTGGTGAGCGAGTGGCCCACACACTGTCCCCAGACACCAGCCACCCCCCAGGCAGCACCTTGAGCAGATTGAGGATCTTCTTGCTGAGATCCAGCTCGAAGTTGGTGTACTGTGACCCTGCCATGTCGTAGATGAACACCAGCCCATTCCTCTGCGTCTCAAAGCTGAGAGGAGGAAAACAACATCAACCCCATAACATGCAACCACCTGGCTCCTGCATCAGCAGCTCCGCCCCACACCGAACCCCAAAAATCCCTTCCCATGCTTCCAGAAGGACTCACAGACCCTAACCTTGCTTCTGCCCTTCCCAGCTGCTCCACCATCTCTTCCGACAACCCTCATTTAAGCCTGACTCGTGCCTTAAGCCTGCCTCAGCAGCATCACCCGTGATGGGTAAGGTCAAAAACAGAAAGAGCCCAGCAGGATAAACGGCAGGAGAATGTCCTGGGTTTATATTTTTGGCAGGGCTCATGTTACGTCTGGCTGATGGTGGGGCTGCCTCCTCCCCAGCCAGAGACTGCAGGAATCTGGGGCTTTGCTAAACTGAACCCAGGGCGTGGACAGGGCAAGGCTGCAAAGAGCCTGGTTGAGGACCTGGGGAATTTTATTCCCCTGCTGAACAACTCCATAAGGAGGACTGCCTAGAGTTAAAACCAGTGAATTTCAAGCCATGGGGAGCAGTGATCTCCCTGGGAGGGACCGTGCTCCCCGGGTGTGAGACAGGGTAGCCCTGCAGAGGCAGGCTCACCTCTCCACAGCTCGGTCCAGCAGGTAGAAGAGTGCCTGGAGCACCACGTGCTGCACGCTCTTGCTGGGGTGGTGCAGCTTGGCTGTGAACAGGGCGATGGAGGCTCCTGAGGGGTCCCTCACACTCTGCCGAGGAAATGGGGTCAGACTCCCGCTGGGAACAGAGCTGGGATCAGCCACCCAGCTGGGATAAGCCCGTGGGGGACACCCCACCTACCAGAATGGTGAACTTCCCGCTGAGCAGCTCTGAGCGCAGCGGCTCCTCGTGCGGCTTCAGCTTCACAATTCCCTCCTTCAGCCGTGTCTCCTGTGGGCAGGGAGGGCAGTGACAGAGGGCACAGGCCACCCAGCCACCTGAGGGAACCTCTGCTCCACGGGAGCATTTTCCAGCACAGCTAGAAAAGGCATGCATGGATCTATATCCTTAATATTTAGGGGAATGCTCTGTGGGCAGCACACACCAGCCAGGAGGGCACCCCATGAGCTGCTCCCAGAGGAGGGGAAGGGACTGGGATTGGGGAGATCTCCATGGCAACCCGCCTTGGCTGAAAAAGGATTTTCCAGCTGGATAAAACTTGTAAGGGAGAGAGAAGAAGGAAAAGGAGCAGGGGGAGGAGGGTGGTCCTAGGGAGCCCTCAGATGGGGGTTCCAGCCCCCCTCCCTTACCCGGTAGGAGTGGAAGAGCTCAATGGCCCGCAGGACGTCGAACTTGCGGGCCATGAGGAACTTGACAGCCACATTCCAGGAGAGAGGGGACACATTGTACTGGCCTGTCCACTTGTTGATCTCCTCCAGGAACTGCTTGGTTGCCTGTGGGGGAGATCGGGGGCGTGCGGTGAGACAGGGTGAGAGGAAGAGGAGGAGGACGAGGAGGGGTGCCCAAGGAGCATCCCTGGTCATTGCCGGAGCTACAATCCTCAACAGACCCAGCAGCTTCTCGGGATGAAGCAGGAGCTCCACAACCAAAGGGGTAAGGGTGGTGTCGATGCAGACGGCAGAAATGGCACATGGGAAAGGGAGCGAGGGGTGGGAAAAATGGCCTGGAGGCTGGGAGACATTCATGGAAAGGAGAGGATTTTACAGGCAACAAACTCCCATTCAGACACAGCACAGCCCTCAGCACAGCCCTCAGCACAGCCCCATCAGCTGGCAGTGGCCTCCTGGAGGCCCTTTAGAGCAGCGAACTTGGCTATGGAAACACAGGTAATGAACATGGAGAACTAACACTTCGACCTGCTACAGACCATGGACCAGCTCGCCCAGTAACACCATTTTCACACGCACATGGAACACCAGGAGGGTACCAGGACAGAAGCAGCTTTGCCTTCTGCTGTGCATTGATCTCCTGTCCCACACAGGAGCCCCAAGGGAGACGGGGCAGCCCAGTCTTCCACCTTCCATCTCAAAGGATGCAGGCAGGATGGAGGGAGGCACCAAAACGCCTTGCTCCCACCCTGGCACACGCCAAAATGAAACAGCTTCCATCCTCCCTCAGGGGGAGGAGGTGGAGGAGGGACAGGGAGTGAGGAGGGCTGGCTCCGGGAGCAGGGAGTGCAGGCAGGCGGCGGTGTAGGATGTCAGGCAGCAGCACGAAGTTACTGGGAACTATTCAGAGCTACTGGGAGCTATTGAGCCAGAAAAGCTTGTCGGTGTTAATGACTTCCGACAGGAGGAAGCGAAGGGCCGGGGTTTATCGGCGGCTGGAGGCGCGGCAGGGACAGCGAGCCCCTCTCATGGGATGAGCCAAAGGAGCCCGGCTCATCCCAGGGTCTGTCTCCCAGCACACTGCAGCCAGGAGCTCCCTAACTTGGTCCCAGAGTCGCACAAAGCAGCCAGGCGAGCACCACAGGAAAATAAATAGGGCAATACAGGAACCATCTTCGGCCTTAACACAGCACGCATCCACACATATAGGAATATATCCTATCCGTACACATATCCTATCCAATATATCCTGGGCACACCTCCACTTTGCTGGGGCATCCCCCGAGGCTCCCAGCTGCCCGAAATCCAGGACTGCAGATGCAAACCCAAAGTAACAGTGAAGATGATCCTTCCCCAGCACGTGCAGGATGGTCAGGGCATGGGGGTGAGCACCAGGCACAACTCCCACTTCTCTCAGACCAGAACTGACACCGCAGCCTGAGATGGCAATGATGCCCCCAGATGATGGGAAGCGTGTCCCCAGATGATGGGAAGAGAGGCCCAAAGGGCATGATGACAATGAGGAGAGGATGCCTGAACCTGTGGTTCAGGTCTGCTTCCTCTACATCTAACCCGTCACACTTCACACAATCCCATTTCCAGCATCTGTCACGAGAGATTGACAGGCTTTTTGCAAGGGGAAGATGCACAAGAACAAGCACTGGCTTTGCAGGGCAGCTCAGCCATGAATTCCAGCTTTCCCTGGGAACAAAACCAAATTCCAAACTTACCAGTGCTGCCATTCAACAGCAGGGAGCCAGGCGCTACGAAGCTGAGCATCAATGCCAGCCACAGCTCTGCCCCCTTGGTGCACTCCACTGGGTCTCATCATCATTCCTAGCCCTAATCCCAAATGGATTTAGTCAATCCCAGCGGAGCAGGGATCGCTCCATGTGCCAAAAACAAAGCCTGTGACCCAGAGCTGCAGCACCAGGTCCTGTTTCGGCAGCACTGGGAGTGAAATTGTCCGTGGCCGGGCGTTGGGAACAATGCTGGTCTTTGGAGTGCTGGCGTCATCCTCATCCCCGCTCTGCTGGAGCAGGGTGGTGACAAAGCCACTGCTGCCGGAATCCAGGGGTTCTTCCAGCCCTCCTCCCCCAGGCAGCAAACCCTCCTTCTTCAGCGTGGGGAAATGGGGGATAAACCTGTGAAAATTGCAGCTGGGCTGAAAACCTTCAAGGAAAATTGGTTTGGCTCCTCGGGAATAGGCTAGGGAGGGAACTGCAGAGAGCCAGAAGAAGAGATGTCCCAAGGCTGGCCTAAGGAGAGAAGGGTGAATTTCCCCCCGGCTGGCTGTCAGTAACAAGGGAGAGTGGAGGAAATCTTGACGGTCTCGAGAAGGATGAAGGGGTGGCAGGAAGGGCATGTTCCAGCCCAAAACACCACTTACCCATGAAAAGAAGGAAACTCTTGTTATTTTGGCTTCCAAGCCACCAAGGGCAGCACAAAAGGCAGCCTTGCTCACACCAAGCTGATGACCCAAACCCGGAGCCATTACTGCAAATATCTTTTCACCTTCTCCATCCAGTATTCCCAAACAAACTAAACATCTCAGATCCCTCTCCCGCTGCAAACCAGCCTTCCCTGCCACTGAAGGATCTCCAAAAACCCCGCTTCTGGAAGCTCTGCCCCCTCCGTGACACAGGAGAAACACAAATCTCAGGCACCTGCGGGGACACAGAGCAAAGGACACTCCCCATTCCTTGGGATTTTATCACACCCTGGAGAGAGCAGTGCTGCTCCCAGGAGGAAAAAGCTTGGTAGCTCTGCATTTGCTGAGCACCAGCGCAGGCTGCAGGAGGGGCTCTTCCATGGAGGTTTGGAGAACTCGGCATCTCCGTCCCAACCCTCCTAAGCCTCCCTGTAGAAACGAAGGATTTTTAAAGGAGAAAAAACCAACCAGCCAACCAACCATTTTGGAAGGAGAACGGGACTTTTCGCCTTGGCTCTGCAGTCCCCAGCGCCACCAACGTGGCCAATGTGACAGCCCGAGGGGGCAGAGGGAGCCCGGCAGTCCCGCTGCCCATGCCGAGGGAAGCCCAGCGGCCGCGGGTGGGGAAGAGGACAAAGGAGGGGACAGGCAGGGATTGCTCCGGCCACCCGAGGCGCCCCGGCCGGCTCCAGGGCCCCGTTCCCCGAGCCCAGCAACATCCTCCCGCGGTGACGCAAGGCCGGCGGAGGAAGCCGGGACGTCACGGGAGGCCTGGGGCGTGGGAAGCGCGTGCACACGCATCCATCCCCACGCATCCATCCATCCATCCATCCCCACGCATCATCCCCGCAGCAGGGCAGGCCTGCCAGCAGGGACACGCCGCTCTGGGGATGTGGGACCCACGCCCCAGCACCCACGGCACGGGGAACGGGGGAGGTTGGGCAAGTTGCGGGGGTGTATGGTGGGTGCTGCGTGGGTGTGGGGGCTGCATGGATAGGGGGCTGCGTGGGGGTGGGATGGGGCGGCTTCCCATCGGGAGAATCGCCTCGCTGGGAAAAAAAACCAGCCTGGCAACCCGCAGTGGCCAAATAACGATGGGAAAGGAGCGGTGGGGGGAAGGAACCGCCGGGGTCCTGCCTAGCCCGACGCGGAGAAGAGGAGCTCGGCGGGACCTACCTGCTCCTCCTCGGCGCTGAGCTCCGCGGCCATGCTGCGCGCCGGGCCGGGCCGGGCCGGGCCGGGCCGAGCCGAACGGAGCCGAACCGAGCCGGGTTGGTCTAGGCGAAGGGCGCCCCGGCGGAGCCCATCCCCGGCGCTGCGGGCACCGGCCCCTCCCGGCGGCGAGGACGGCTCCGCCCCGGGGGCCCCGCCGAAAGTGCGGAGGAAATTAAAATAAAATGAAAAAAAAAAGAAAAAAATTAAATATTTATATATGTGTGTGCGTGTGTGTGTGCGTATGTGAGCGAGCCCCCCGGGAAGTTTGGCTCGGCCCGGGAGCGTCGCTCGGCTGGGCCGGGCCGAGCCGAGCTCCCGCCCCGCTCCGCTCTGCCCCGGCGGGGGCGGCGGCAGGAAGCGCCCGCAGCCCCCGGTCCCTCCTCCCCGTCCCCTCCCCGCGGCTCCGCCGACCCCGCGGGGCGGGCGGGGGACAGGAAGCGCTCCCCGGCGGGGGGGCGAGCGGGGGACAGCGGCCGGGATGGGGCGGAGGGGCCCGGTCCCCCCCGCGCTCCGCGCCGGCTCCCCCAGCCCCGGTTCCGGCGGCGGCGGGCGAGAGCGCCGCCGCTAAAATGGTGGCAGCATCCTCCTCCCTTTGCTGGTGCTGGATAAAATTCCCGGCAGCCGCATCCTCCCTTGCTGTTACTGGATGAAATTCCCGGCACAGCATTCTCCCTTGCCGGGATTCCAGCCGCGCAGCCTTCCCCCCACGAGCAGGAGTCCGGGGTTTCCAGGCGTCTCTTTCCACTCCCTCCTCCACGATCCCTAAATTGCATTTCTCAGCTGAGCGCAGGTGTCAGCGCCTGGATGGAGAGTCCCGAAGCTCCTCCGGGAAGGAGTGGAGATCTCGGGGAAGCACAGCAGCGATCGCTCCAAAAAGCCAGGCCCTGGGACAGGGGACATTTTGTTCAGCCGAGGAGCACTGTGCTGGCAGTGTGCCTGCAGCCGGAGCCTGTGCACCTAACTGGGAGAAAATGGAAGTAGGGCAGAGGGAAGGGGCTGGATGAGGGCTCCAGGCTGGCTCTGTCCCCCAGCACCCCAGGCCACGTCTCCAGGTCGAGCTGCCCGTTCAGCTCTCCTGCCCCAGGCCAAATTTCAGCCCCCGGTGGGGCGACCCCTCCAGTGGAGCTGCTGCCCGTTCCAGCTGGGAGTGGGATCGCACCCAGCAAACATAACAGTCACGGCACCGAGCTGCGCTGGCCCCTGCGACTTCCGTTTGACACCCTCCCTCCAAAAACAGCCTTTCGTTCCCAACAGGAATTGTAACACAAATATTTATTTCTCCAGCCCAGCTCATGCTTTTAAAAGGGAAACTATGAGGCATCATTTGGAGCCGGCGGGAAGCTGCAGTCGCTTCCCTCTCGCTCTCCTCCACCAGCGCGCACAGCCCCTCTTCGGCTGTATTTCCTCTCCTTCCCTTGCTGGAGGACCTTGGAAAGCTGCTGGAGGGCAGTAACCTGAGCTGCAGCTTTCTCTGCCCTAAGGGATGCACAAATCTTCCATCCAGATGCCCACCTCCGGGTTTAATTGCCTGATGGAAGGAAAACTGTGCTGACAGGAGGCTGGATGCCGTCTCCTCCTCAGCTCTCTCCCCGCAGCTGTCGGCCAACCAGGGAGGCTGAAGGTGGGAACCCTTGGGGGATGGGGAGGTTAAGGCAGTCCAGGTGCTCATCCTCTTTCCCTGGGCCAGCTGCTTCACATGTTACAAAAAACAAAACTGAAAACAGTAAATTAAGCAGCTGTTGGAAAGACAACAGCTCCGAACGCTGCGAGGCCAGGGTGCCACTTCCCTGCCGGGGAAGGGGAGCCGAGAGCAGCCCCCTCCCACAGCCAGGCCAGTTCCTGCTGCCCGCTGGTATCAATAGCGGCTGCACAGCCAGATGGTCGCACACAGCCCACACGCTTGGCACAGAAACCAGGCTTTTTCTGGGAAAAACGGGGGGTGTGAGGGCAGGATACAAGTGCACCCGCTATCTGCAGGTGGCCATCCCCACTCTCAGTATCTCCTCCACGGGCATTTCCATAGAGAGCTGGGAGAAGAGTCCCCAACGCTGCCTTGAGCTTGGTGTTTCATCTCCCTCCTTTTCATCCCCCTCTGGAAACCAACCTGGGGATAGTGAGAATAATAATTTCATGCCCCTAAAACCAGGGAGAGGGAGCAGCCAGTGCTTGAAAAGTGAGACTGGGCTGGGATGAGACAGACAGGACAAGAGACTGAAGTACCTCGATGAGCAGAGAATTAAATCCACACAAGCGTTTCCTCTGCTCCACTCAGCACTGGAACCAATTTTTCAATCCCTGTTTGGGAGGCATAGCACGCATCCACCCTTAGGTAGCAGGAAGACGCTCAAGAATTTGTCTTTCTGAGAAACCTTTTATTTGGCACGATCAATGGTAGCGTTTTTCAGAGCAAACCCATGCCTTCCTCCCCCCACTGAGAAAAGCCTCGAGAAGAGAGAGGCTTCTGCCGTGCTTGTGCTGCACAAAGCCCTGTTCCAAGGCAGGTCCTGCTGCAACGCAAGAAAATTTAGATTTTCCCAAGAACGGGTGGCTGCGGAAAATCCAGCCTTTGGATGTACAGCAGCTCAGTACAAACTTCTCGTCAGTAACAACTTTCATTGAAAAGGCCTCAGAAAACAGCTGGATCAAAGGCTGAGAAGCCCCAATTTCCAGGGCTGGGAAGGTGGGGCTGCTGCAAGAGTCACAAGCAGCAGCTGCTGCACCTCAGAGGTCCAAGCACTGTTCCTATGCTGGAGTTTTGCCAAGACTCTAACAGAAGCAGGGTCAGGAGCTGAACTGCATCCTTGAGCTATGGGGACAGATCATTTCCCAACACATGACTGCTTCAGCAAAGAACCAGACAATCCTGTTAAGGCCTCACAGAAGTCCTGGCAAAAAAAAAGTATGTCATAACAACAAATAAAAAAAAAATCCAGCACCACCTGGGGCAAGATACTCTACTGTCATGCCCTTTAAACAAAGCCCTCCTATCATCATTCCTCTGCCCCCTCTCAGGAGCACGAGGCACAGTGAGAAGCAAGGAGCCTTTTCCCTGCTCCCTGCCCAGCAGCTTAGCTCTCCATCTGGCTCACTGCTCCATCCCGGCCCTCCGGAGACTTTTCTGGCTGCGGGGTGGACAAGTGTTCCAGCTCGTAGTGTCCGTTCCTCGCGGCCGCCTGCCCGCTGGGGTGGCCCTTTTCCTCCGCCAGCTTTTTACTCCTCTTGCTCTCGATGATCTGCTGGAGCTGCCGCCCGGCGTAGTCGGGCTTGGCCGTGAGCGCGGTGGCGGGCACGGCGAGCCCCAGGATCTCGGGGACCATGTAGGGCCGGAGCCAGCCCACCAGCGGGGTGCTGCCGGGGGTGTAGTGCGTTTGCTTGTGGTAGAAGAGCAGCCCGTCGACCTGTGGGCAGCAGAGACAATGAATGAAAGGGCAGAGCTGAGGCTCCTTCCTGCAGGTGAATGACCAGGCACCAGACAACGGCTCTGCTCTCGGCTTGCAGGCCAAAACCACCAGCTGGATCGTTTTTCCTCATGCAGTGCAATAAATAGCGGAAGGGAAAGAAGAAACCTGCAGAGCTCCTGCCCTGAAAGATCAGCGATTCCCAGATGGCTTTAAATTGTCAAAGGCAAATGAGTCCAGCCTGGTGTCGGCACAGAGCAACGTCCTCTGGATGCTTTCATCCCATTCTGCAGAAAAGCCAGGGAGTTTCTGAATAAGGCAGCCCACTTTACTGGATTAGGGTTATTTTAAATAATACATTTGGAAAGTAATTAGCCCGAGTGTGTGACGCCAAGGAGCCCCGGCTCCTAACAGCTCTTTCAGCTGGCTTATGCCAAAAAAATTCTTAATGTTTCCCAGGAGATAACTTCTCCTAGCAATCAGTGACAGTTAAGGGCACTCAGGACTTTAAAGGTTTAGGCCCTAACTCTTGTGCTACTATTTCCACACTCTGCAGCTCTGCAGCTGGCTGACGTTTTCCCCACTTTCTCACTGTGATCAGGGATTCTCATCCCCCCTCTTCCCACACTTCCCAGGGGTGTGCTCTGCAAGGTTGGATCCTGCTGTCAGGCTGACTAATGCTGGAGGTGGTGCTCCTCTTAGCTCAGCTCCACGAGCTCTTAAAAGGCCATTTGGCCACGAGGAAGAGTGGCTGGGTGGGCAGGAGAACAAGAGCGCACCTCGGGATGAACTGCTCCCAGGCCCCTCTTTGATCCTACAGCCCCCGGAACAGAAACACTGGCTGAGCACAAAGCAGCATATATCCACTCCTGCTCCACAGATGCTAACCTCTGGCAGAGAGGGTAAAGCTTCTGGCACTATTCTGGCCATAATTTTCAGTCACTCTTAACATCTTGCAAAATAATCCCAGAAAAAGGGGGATTTCTGTGCTAGGAAAATACAAAACCAGAACAATAAACATCATGATGAACTTGTGCAACCCCTGCGGATATATAAAGTGAAAAGCTTTTCCCCCACCCTGCCTACTGGGAAGAATCAGATTCTGCAGCACTCCAGGATATCCAGCCCATTCCTGTGGGTGCGTGGTACTCGATGAGCAATGGGGATTCTCCGGCACCCACGGGAATGCTTTGGTAAAGATCAGAGCCCGGAAAGGCCTTCCAGATCACTCCAAATACCTTCCCCAAGCTAGAGAATTCAAAGGACTTCAGCCTGGTGCAGTTAGGTCATGTTCTCCATTCCTTGATTTAAATGAGTCCTATATTCCTTCCCGTTTATTTGATTTATTGGCTGGGTCCCTGCCCTGACCCTGAGTCACCACAGTGACAAGTGGCCACATCAGAATAGGGACTGACACTGTCCCTAAATGACTGAACCTGAGGAGAGACTGGCCTGGCAGGATTTAACATTCCACAGCCACGCTTTCCAGATTTTAGGTGCTTAACAGTCCTCCCATTCCTAAGCCTCAGGGTTTCTCAAAGGCTTTGGTTCCCCTGCCTTCATGGAAAACATGGTTTTACTCAGATCTGTGAAGACAGTAGCTCTTAAGATTCAC